AAACATGCCCGATGACACTCTGACAGTCCTACACTGATTTACACCAATAAGTTTTATTAAAGAGAGAGAGAGAGAGAGAAATGGGGTTTAACGTCCACTCGACACAGACTAAGTCATTTCGGGACTAATATATGGTTTAATTTTATTTCAATAATTCGCTTGCGCATAGGGGTCTTTAGCAGTAGGAGGAAACTGGAGGACCCGGATAAAACCCACCGGGTTGGACAGGCGACCCTACTCTTTGTCACATACAACTGGGGATTCAAAACCACGCCAGTCGACTCAATGACGGACTGTATGATACAGCGCGCGCACGCTAACCATTCAGCCATCCAACTGCCCCGTTTTATTAAAGGAGGCGTACGAGATTCACGGGGTAATCTTGATGAGGTACCAGTCTCCATATTAAAAACATGCCTGATGAAACTCTGACATTCCTAGACCGATTTACACAAATAAGTTTTATTTAAGGAGGAGTCCCTGATTCACAGGGTAATCTTGATGAGACAAGTGGTTTTATGTATGCAAATTAAATGCCAAAATGTAAACAGAGCCTATTGGCCTTGTCTAAATGTTTCAGATCTAATGTTGAGATTTTGGAAATGATCATAACAAGTACGATAGTAATATGTGGACAAGGAACCAGACATAATGTCATCTTGAAATTGCCACAATATATAAAAAAATTGAAATCCTTTCGGGTGGGAGCCTGTCAAGGGAAAGAGTCGGATGAAAAAAATGAGGTACCATGTAAGCTATTGACAGCTTGTAAAAGATTTCCTGAAATACAATCTGATTAAAACACAGATCCTATTTCGTTTTTTTTATAGATCAAAATTTCGTTTTACTTATCTTCACAGCACTAGGATCTGGAAGAGTTGCTATATAACAGGTTTTCTAGTTGATGTGAGGAATTAGCCAATGAAGCGGTCTGTTAGATCGATTTCTTGGCATGCTCTGCACGGAACTGAGGGTAAACCCCTACAAATGTCAATACTGATCGATTTATCAATGCCTGACGTCAAAAGCCCCTGTTGCAACCTCCAAGTACAACTGGTCAGATCTTTATGTAGTGTAGCCAGGTCATCGAAAACATATAAAAAAACAAAACGAAATATAGATCTGTATTTTAATGAGATTGATTGAAATAGAGAATAGGGGCTGTGCCTCTTCTATGAAGGCAAAATTTCAATCATAGCCCACTGCATACTGGTTCATTAACCCAGCTGTTACAAAACAATAAGACTTTAAACCCCATTTCATTCCATTTACATGAAAAGTTACTTGTGACATTTTCATTAACGGATATGCTTTACATATAACTCATTACGTGTGTCATAATATCAATTTACTCTAATTTTCCTCATCAATCTTCTGATTTCACCACAGCCTTAGGCATACTTGTCAAAACATAAAAATTGGGTCTAATAATTTTAAAAAGATGACGATCTAATTCATTACTTCTAGAATTTCAGCACACACACGGCAAAGAATAACATGTCATTATGTTGTTTAAAGTAACACTACAGTGGCATGGTGCTTGTGATAAAGGCTGAAGTATCCTGTCAGATTTTTAAAAGGTTTTAATGTAAATACAGACACACTTCAAGGAGTATCAAACAGCTAAATTAAAACGACACATCAACTGTATGTCAAAGATAAGGTTTTAACTTAAAAGTCCCAAAATGTCAGAAACAAGAAAATCTGATTAAAATACAGATCTATTTTTTTTTTTTTTTTTTTTATACTTTCGATGGCCTACATGAAGAGCTGACCGGTTGTAGTAAAAAGTCGCTTTTGACCCTATGACGTTAGACATTGATTAATCAATCAGCGTTGACATTTTTAGTGATTTACCCACAGTTCCGTGCATTACACACCAAGAGGTCGCTGAAACAGATGGTTTCATTGGCTAATCCCTCACACCATCCAGAATGCAGGTTATATAACAACTCTTCCAGATCATTGTGTAGTACAGACGAAAAAAAATGAATTTTTGAACTATAAAAAAATGAAACGAAATAGGATCTGTGTTTTAATCAGATTGGAAATAAGATTTAATATTTAGTAGAACATCATACACAATCAAAATTAATTTTATCATAAAAACATTTGGTCTAATTATAGTTAGTTATTCAAATTGATCAGTTAAGTTTACATTGGTTTCTATAAATTTCGGAGGCTTGGGTGGCTGAATGGTTAGCACGCGCATGCTGTATCATAAGGTCTGTCAATGAGTCAACTGGCATGGTTTCGATTCCCCGGTTGTACATGACAAGGAGGAGGGTGGCCTGTCCAACTTCGTGGGTTTTCTCTAGGATCTCCGGTTTCCTTCCTCTGCTAAAGACCCCTACGCGCAAGCGAACTATTGAATTAAAATTGAACCGTGTGTTAGTCCCGAAATGACCTAGTTTGTGTCGAGTGGTCGTTAATCCCCATTCCTCGCTTTTCAATATTGTTTTGCACAAGGTTTTCCAGCGTTGTTTCTGGCGTGGTTTCGATTTCAAGGAGTAGAGTCGCCTGTCCAACCTCATTGGTTTTCTCCTGGTCCTCAAGTTTCCTCCCACTGCTAAAAGACCCCTGCGTGCAAGCGAATTATTAAAATAAGATTTAACAATGTGTTCGTCCCGAAATGACCTGGTTTGTGTCGAGTGGACGTTAAATCCCATTTCTCTCTCTGTCTATAAATTTCAAACGCCATCTTTTTCGTACAAGACAGTCGATTTTCTTCATGCAGATCTTTTCTTTGCGATAAAATAGTATATAGTTCGGGTTTGTTGTACCTTTAAGGCCTTGTTTATACATGTATGTCAATGAATCAATGTCCATTTTCTTTTGGTTAGAGTACAATCATATCAGTTTACTGGTATGTCAAAAGTCAGAAAATCAAAAACTCTGTCCATATTACTATGTTTTAAACTTCTACTATCAAAAATCTAATTGACTATTTAACATTTAATTAAGAAAAGAAAATATCAACTGTAAAAAAATCACTTAGCTTGAATTTAATTGGATTTAATATAGTTATATTTTCAATTCATATTATCTTTGTAAATATGGCTTGATATTTGGACTGATATACCTTTTAGAGGTTCAACTTTCACAATATTGTAGTGTACAAGGGATTGAAATTGCTTCAAATGGTGATACAGATTTCTCAAACATTAGATGTGTTCAAATCCAAACTCAAAACTCATTTGTTTGTTACTTATTATCAGGATTGTTGTTATCTTCCATGTCCTTAGAGCATGCAATATGGATGGAGTGAGCGGAATCATAAATCATCATCATCACTGCACTTTTAAATTGTTTATCAAAGTTTTATTACTGAATCCAACTTGATTAAAACACAGATCCTATATTTTATTTCGTTTTTTTATAGTTCGAAATTTTGTTTTACTTGTCTTTACTACACTAGGATCTGGAAAAGTTGTTATATAAGCCACATTCTGGTTAATGTGAGGCAGTGATGGAAGTGAGGGACTAGCCAATGAAACAGTCTGTTACGGTGAGTTCTTGCCGTGCGATGCATCAATTAATGCTGATCGATTAATCAATATCTCACGTCATAGGGTCAAAAGTCGCACGTACGACCCCTGACACGACCTTCCAGTACAACCGGTCAGATCTTCATGTAAGTGTAGGCCATAGAAAGTATAAAAAAAAAAAACGAAACGAAAAATAGATCTGCATTTTAATCAGATTGTACTGAATCAAAATAAAGTGTAAAATGATGTTGTAAACAAGATATAGCTATTTACATAAAATTCCTCCCCTCAATTAAATATTCAGTTTATCTATAATACTGGTGATAATCTTGTACATACATAAACAAACTATTATTATTATAGAATGTATTGTTATTAACACTGATAAAGATTAACTTATCACAGTTATCAAACACTTAAGATAAATATGGCACATTGTTTAAGATTATCTTTGGAGATAATATTACTATAGGTTAACGGGGGAAAAAAATCATCCCTTTTTTTATCAGAAGCTAAATATAATAAGCAGTAGAATACAAATGTGTGTCCAACATACAGAGAGAGAGAGAGAAATGGGGTTTAACGTCCACTCGACACAAACTAGGTCATTTCGGGACTAACATATGGTTCAATTTTATTTCAATAATTCGCTTGCGCATAGGGGTCTTTAGCAGTGGGAGGAAACTGGAGGACCCGGAGAAAACCCACAAGGTTGGACAGGCAACCGTACTCCTTGTCACGTACAACCGGGGATTCGAAACCACGCCAGTCGACTCAATGACAGACCTTATGATGCAGCGAGCAGACGCTAACCATTCAGTCATCAAACCCCCCAACGCTCCCCCCCACCCGTGTCCAACATACAATATGCTGTACAATCTTATTTCACAGTTATAGGGGTCTTTAACAGTGGGAGGAAACCAAATGACTCAGAGAAAACCCACAAGGTAAGACATGCGACCCTACTCCTTGTCAAACCACATCTTTTGACTCAACGACAGACCTTATGATCTCAAGTACATGCCAAAGACCATTCCTAACTTTGGGTAATGAAGAACAGCATATACCATGCAGTATGCCACAAAGGAACTGTTGCCTGGATAGTAACATTTCTGTCTACTCTTTCAGCTGTCAATTGTTTTTTATGTGTATCCTAACCAGTACACTTGAGGACCTTAGGTCTTTTTCAGTCCCATCTGAATGACAAGGCCCCTCATTGTCCATTTAAACCAAACTGTCTTTCAATTGAATGAAATTCAACTCATGTTATAATCAAACCAGGGCCATATGTAATACCTTTTAAGTGTTGGGTAAAAAATTTTGATGGGCCTCTTATTGTTAATCTGATTGAATCCAAACTGGGAGATTATCTTCCATTGAGATTTTGTTTATTTGAACATCAAATAATCAAACCAAGTACATTTTAGTGTGGTATGAGTCATTTAAAATAGGATATAGTCTGAAAAATATAAACAATGATCACAGTTTTAAAGAGAGAATAATTGTACTTACATAGTTTTAAACAGTTCTCTATATTCAGTATCACCTAGATTCGATGTTATTAATTCGTCTAGTCTTTCAATGATTTCACTTTCAACCTATAAAATACAATAAAATTTATTAAATTTAAAGAGCTTATAAATAACATATTTAGAAAACATTCATTTCTAAAATCATTTTAATATTTGTCAAAATCTTGTCAAGTGAAATGTAATAATGCTTTGTAGCTATTTGAAACTAACAAGATTATTATTTCAAGGGGAGAGAGAGAGAGAGAGAGAGAGAGAGAGAGAGAGAGAGAGAGAGAGAGAGAGAGATGGGGTTTAACGTCCACTCCACACAAACTAGGTTATTTTGGAACTAACACATTGGTTCAATTTTATTTCAATAATTCTCCTGTGTGTAGGTGTCTTTAGAAATAGGAGGAAACCATAGGACATGGAGAAAACCCACAAGGTTGGACTGTGAGACTACTCCTTGTCACGTACAACCAGGGAATTGAAACCACGCTAGTTGACTCAATAACAGATCTTACGATACAGCGCGCACATGCTAACCATTCGGCCATTCACACACACCCCCTCCTTCATAGCACATTGTTCTAAATAAATCCTGTCATAGTCTTTAATTTGTCATCTGGAGATGATAGCTTGTACAAAATGTAGTCATCTTGCATGACGTATGTCTACCTTTATTAGCCACGTAGAGGAAATTTGAAGCTAGAGATATCTATTTTTATATATATACCTGATTAAAGTTTCCGTTAAGTTTATGTTCACACTGCATCATGTCAAAGAAAATAGGTAGAGTAGTTTTACGTAATTCTTTTTCCGGTACTAACGTTACTTCTAGAAATGGACCAATCATTGACGGTATGAAGTGTTTTTTATGTTCTCCTGTAAACGAAATATTAGTATCTGAGTTAATCAATAATATTGATGAAAATGTTTAAAGTCTGTGAAGTTGAGTAGATTTTCAGGTTTATTCATACCAATTATCTTAGTATTCGTTATTCAATGTCAATTAAAAACATTGAATTAAAAAACTAATGGGATTTGTTGATTAGTTGTGTGTCTACTATGTGTGATATAAATAATGATATAAATTGTATTAAATAATATAATAATAAACTAATGGGAATTGTTGATCAGCTGTGTGTCTACTATGTGATATAAATAACGATATAAATTGTATTTGTTGTGTGTCTACTATGTGATATAAATAACGATATAAATTGTATTTGTTGTGTGTCTACTATGTGATATAAATAATAATATAAATTGTATTTGTTGTGTGTCTACTATGTGATATAAATAATGATATAAATTATATTTGTTGTGTGTCTACTATGTGATATAACTAATGATATAAATTATATTTGATGTGTGTCTACTATGTGATATAACTAATGATATAAATTATATTTGTTGTGTGTCTACTATGTGATATAAATAATGATATAAATTATATTTGTTGTGTGTCTGCTATGTGATATAACTAATGATATAAATTGTATTAAATAATATAATATCAACTACAAATAAACAGATAAATCAATATAATTATATAGGATATTTGACCAGTAAATGTGGCCATGTAATAATTTATGTTGTTTTATTGGTATAAATAAATGTTTATTACCTAAGGAATTCCATAAAGTCTGTATCTGAAAGCCAATAACAACTCTCATGTCTTGATACCTAAAAATATAGTCAAAAGTTCGAATCTTTAAATATATCCTGTTCTCAATGATGTTTTTCTGGCGTGGTTTCCCCTTGTCAGTGGTGCAGGAAGGAGCGTCTAGCAAGGACAGATGCCTAGTTGTTTGGATGGGACGAAAAATCGAGGTACCGTGTATATATTGACATGCATGTAAAATATCCCTTGGCAGTTGGAATTCGATATAAGAGTAGGCCTTAGCGCCACTGTACGGGCAAAATTTCCCTCATAGCACACTGTGTGGTGTATGCCCGTCTTCATTAGGCCAGTTGGAGCAGGCCAGTAGGATGTTAACCCCGTCTTATTTCATTTCAATGATGTTTTTAATAATTTTGAATGCAGGAAAACATGATCCACCAAATTTACTGCATCCTGAGAAGAACAAGATTCTATGAAATCAGCCTACTGATTTTTTGAAAAGGTGGACTTACTTTTCTCTGATGTTTTGCTGTTTGGCTTTTGAGAATTTTTCTAACTGTAGACTAGACTGGGTAATGAAGGCTACAGAAAGATCTAAGTAGTTGCTCCAAATCTGAAATTCATAAATAAACAAAGTTTTGGGATTCCAATTTAAAATTTTCTAGGCAATCAAGTTTGTAGGACCCTTACTTCGAAAGTTTTTAAATCAGATGAGTTTTTTTTTATGCATTTCATTAATACCAGAATTAATAGAAAAACTTTGCGATTATTTTTTTGTTTATTTCATTATCATTCTTTAAATATGTAAACCAAGATTTTAGTGAATTTTTGAATTCTATACTGACAAATTCAAATTATATAAAGTGACAACCTGATTAAAACACACATCCTATTTCGTTTCGTTTTTATAGTTCAAAATTTCATTTTACTTGTCTTCACAACACTAGGATCTGGAAGAGTTGTTATATAAGCCACGTTCTGGTTAATGTGAGAGATTAGCTAATGAAACGGTCTGTTACGGCAAGTTCTTGGCGTGCAATGCACGGAACTGTTGGTAAACCACTAGAAATGTCAACATTGGTTGATTAATCAATGTCTGACGTCATAGGATCAAAAGCCGCTTGTATCACCCCTAACGCGACCTCCCACTACAACCGGTCAGAACTTCATGTAGTGTAGGCCATCGAAAGTATAAAAAACGAAACGAAATATTGATCTGTATTGTAATCAGATTGATAAAAGTGAAAACTTACTGATTTATCAAACTGTTCTTTGGTAAGGAAACAGTCTGAAAGAGACTGTGCTAAATACTGAATAGCTGTCAAAATGGAACTGAAACAAAAAATAACCAATTAATTCTGTAGTAATAAATCTTTTTTTAATCATTCAGTTGTCCTATATGTGATAAAATTAAAAGAAATGGGTTTTAAAAGACATTCTGCCCGGAATGCGTGTTTTCAGTTGTCCCATAAGTGATATAATTAAATGAAATGGGTTTTAAGAGACATTCTGCCCGGACCCCATGTTCTCACAGCATGATTTTTGTGGACATCTCCACTTTATATATTTCATACATTACTTCTTTTAAATAGTGATTTAAAGTTATTTATCAACTCACTGATTGGTTGTCATTCTCATTGTTGTCCAATCAGGTGGGAAGACATCTTGCCTGATGAGGTCACGAAAAACCAAAAATATTCGAATCAAAAAGTCCTGAAAAGTAAAGCAAAGATAATATTTAAACATCAAGTTTGTATATAAATATTGTTAAAAGTTTAATGTTGTTCTTGTTCACATTGTTAAAACATGCATCAAGTTTGTGTTCAAAAATTGTTAAAAACTTAATGTTGTTCTCAATCAAATTAAAAACAAATGCAATGAAGTGGGGTTTAATGTCCTCCTGTTCTGTTCCAACTGGGCTAATGAAGATTGGCATACACCATGCAGTATGCTATGAGGGAAATTTAGCCCAGGCAGCGGCACTATGGCCTACTCTTATATCAAATTCCAAATGCCAAAGGATCTTTTACGTGCATGCCAATGTGTAGACGGGACATCAGTTTTTTTGTCCAATCCGAATGACTTAGACAGCTGTCCTTGTCAGGCCCTCCGTCCTGTACCACTGACAAGGGGTGACCAAGTCAGAAAATCATGACGAAAATTCAAAGGAAAATATTAATATTTAATTTCTGTGTACCTTGAGTGGTCTGCCTCTAGGATAGGCTGAAAGTAGAGACTCATAATGGCTATCTTCCATAATACGTAACATTTCTATTAAACAGGAAATCAACAAACCCTAAAAGTAAATTTTAAAAACTTATCAGTCAAAGCTGGAGACCTGAAAGTTATAAAGATGAGGGTAATAAAACAAATATTCATGATGACAAAAGAAGTTAATCCATTGTTTTTCTATCATGCATAAGCTTTACTTTTCTTAAAGTAGCTAAGAATTTCAATCAATATTATCCACAGTCTTTGACAGTGCAAACACAACTTATTGGTTAGTTCAAATCAACATTGATGTTGTTATCTTGTCGTGAAAAGATGGGCTTCTGGTATTCAATATTTAAGAAATAGTGAAAATTTTGATCTGGGCACACGAATTGCATGCCAGAATGCTTTCTAGTGCCATTTCTAATAAAGTGACTGGATGAATGAAGCTAAACATATCCAACTGGGGGGGGGGGGGAACTACCGGAGTAGACATAAATAACCAGACATCAAAGACTGCCATTTAATTTACACTCTTCACATATTTCACCGAACATAACTGATTAGAAAGTACAGTATATACAGAAACGATTGAATGTAAATCAGTTTTTATCACCCAATAATACATTCTACAGTAGATATCGCTTGTGTGATATATTTCATAATCTACTGCGATATCTCCTTTGGAGATATCGCTTTACATGAATTTGATTGGTCAGTTGAAAAGGAACTACTTTTTTTTATTTTCAAAGAACAGTTCATTTCTTATTAAAAGTAACTTTTTTTTTTATTAAAAATGAACTATTGTTATTTAATTGACCTTGATGGAAACACTAGGTCAATATAAAGAACTTTGCAATGGTTGAATTGCTATCAAAAAATGATGTATCACTATGCCGTAATGTTCAGTAAAAGTGAAATCTACAGCAAACAATTATATTTATCTATTTGATTTGGGTATGTAAGAAGGGATTGGGTGATAAATAAAATCTCCTACTCGTCTTTTTTGATATCAAAAAATATCAACACTCATTTATAAAGTAAAAAAAAACTCGGCAGAGCCTCTTTTTTTTGTTACTTTATCAACTTGTGTTGATATTTTTTGATATTAAAAAAGACTGGTAGGATAATCTCTATATATACATTTATATTACATTATTATATGTGTTGCATATAACGTATAGAGAATATGCTGAAAATTTCAGTCGAATTGCTCCACTCTAAACCAAGATATTAGCTTTTGAATTTTAGGCTAGCCTCGATCATCATTACTAAAATCGGTACGATAAAAATGCATTCCAATCCGCTAAATATCGCGGGCTAGCGATGACATCGAGAGTTGAATATGGTCTGGATAAGTTAATGTCTAATTAATAATTTAGATAACATTTCAGGCCTAAAGAAAGATCTGCAATAGGCAGATTTAGCTCTTGCATAATGTATGATTAAGCTTTACATCAAGTCCTACCTAATAAAACTTGTGTACCAATTTGAAACCAATGTTAATCCAGGGCCCATAATATTGCTACATGATTAGAAACTGTGACATTCTAGTCGAAAGACTGTAACCCCTCGACGATCTTATCTTTAATATTATTACTTACACCAAAATTAACTCTATGAGATACTTCCATATTTAATAACGATTCTATCAATACATCAAATACAGCCAATACAACCTGACCTATATCATTATGACCTTTTGATTTCTGAAATGTACAAATAAGAAATATGTACAAATATACTACCGGTAATAAGAATTATACAAATAAGAGATATACTGAGAGAGAGAGAAATGGGGCTTAACGTCCACTCGACACAAACTAGGTCATTTTGGGACTAACACATGGTTCAATTTTTATTTCAATAATTCGCTTGCGCGTAGGGGTCTTTAGCAGTGGGAGGAAACCGGAGAACCCGGAGAAAACCCACGAGGTTGGACAGGCGATCCTACTCCTAATCATGTACAACTGGGGATTCGAAACCTCGACAGTTGACTCAATGACAGACCGTATGATACAGCACGCTCGTGCTAACCATTCAGCCATCTAACCCCCCTAAGAAATATACTAATAAGAAATATATAACATATACAATGTATGCAAGAGTTGTAATCAGTATCAATGGGATTGAATGTCTCGTCAGAAATGAAATGGGGTTAAACATCCTACTGTTCTGCTCCGACTGGGCCAATGAAGATGGGCATACGTCATACAGTGTGCTACTCAGAACTATGGCCTACTCTTATATCAAATTCCAACTGCTAAGGAATCTTTTACGGCATGCCAATGTGTACAAGGGACCTTGGTTTTTTATTCCATTCGAACAACTACACAGTCCCTCCGTCCTGCACCACACTGGAAAATCACGATGAACTTTCTCGGCAAATGCAGGGATCGAACACGCAACCTCTGGGGTAGTGAGCCAGCATCTTACCCGCTTAGCCACCGTGGCTCCCCAAATGTCTGGTCAGCAAAATAAGAAATATATACTGGAATACATAACAACAGTATAATTAACTGTAATCAATGGCAATATATAGGATGATCGTCTAGTCAGAAAAATATAGACTTGTATATGAGGGAAATTTTGCCCGGGCAGTGGCACTATGGCCCACTCTTATTTCAAATTCCAACTACCAAGGAATACCTAACGACAGTGTAATTAACTATAACCAATGGCAATATATCCGATGATCATCTAGTCAGAAAAATATTTAATTAATCTATTATATTTATTGATGTTAAATGTATAGACTTGCCTGTTTAAAAGTAAAAAGTTTATCCAAAAGATCTCCTAACGTTTTGGCGGTGGAGGATAAAGCTGCTTTCTGGATGAGGCATTTTTTAATGTGAGCTAGACATAATGGCAGCAGTATGGTTCTTGATTCTGTAATGGTAAAGATATTTAAAATTTTATATATTAATGTCACTATTAATCATGGTGAATATAGTTGCTTGAAGGATTTGCCTTCAGTAAAATAATAAACCTGTTTTTTTTTTTTTATTCTAATTAGGTTTTAATTCTAGGCATGAAATACAAATGCATTCAGGCAATAATCTATACATGTGGGTCCTTATTCATGAAAACTTAAAACTAAAATATTTTTAAAATCCTGGCTTTTCATTGGATTAAAGCTAAAGATTTTAATCCTCAACCAATCAAAGAGCAGGATCCTTAAAATATTTTAGTTTAATTTTTCGTGAAATAGGAACCCGATTACCCAGGAGATTTATCAACCAATTGTATTAGTCCACTCGTAAACATAGTAGACCAATGAAAACAATCGCCCATAAGTGCTAGCTTGATTTAGCAATGGATAATGAGTTGACAATGCTTGTTGCTAGTGACTGAGGAATATAATGTTATTCAATACTTACCATCATCATCGAATAGATCTGAGTTGATTGTCTCTTTCATAAGAAGTGTTTTAGCTTCCACGATTTCTATATTAGAATCCCGAGCTATATGATTGACAAGATCAACCAGTAAACCAGTTAATTCATTTTTACTTATCACAGTTAGAAGTGGAATGTAGATTTTATGTAATTCACTCAATAATATCACCTAAGTAAATAAATATATATAAATTAATAAAATAATACGGAGGAAATAAAAACAAAATCTCCCATTTTATAATAATAATAATAATGATTCTTATATTGCGGTAATTAAGAGGGAGAGAGAAATGGGGTTTAACGTCCACTCGACACAAACTAGGTCATTTCAGGACTAACATTTGGTTTAATTTTATTTCATTAATTCGCTTGCGTGTAGGTGTCTACAGTACCCAGAGAAAACCCACGAGGTTGGACCCTACTCCTTCTCACGTAATAGCGGGGAATCGAAACCTATGCACTTTTTAATTTAAGAAGGTAATTAAAAATTACATCAACAATAATAATTACCTGTGCCTTTTTCAATTTATCATCTTTTGATTGTAGCACCGTACTAAATGTATGAAATATATTCCTGAATATCTTCGGATCAACACTATCAGAACCATAAGAACTGAAATAAAAATGAAAAGAAATTAAATGGGGTTTAACGTCCTACTGTTCTGCTGCAACTGGGTTAATAAAAACGGGCATATGCCATACAGTGTGCTATGAGGGAAAGTTGCCCGGCCAGTAGCGCTACGGCCTACTCTTATATCGAATTCCAACTGCCAAGGGATCTTTTATGTGCATGCCAATGTATACATTCAGTTTTTCGTCGCATCCAAACAACTAGACAGCTGTCCTTGTCAGGCCCTCCACCCTGCACCACTGACAAGGGGAAACCACACGGGAAATCCTGATAAACTTTCTTGGGCAACAGTGGGAGTGAACCAGCGATCTCTACGCTAGTGAGACAGTGTCTTACCTATCGTGGCTCCCAACTGAAATAATGCATGTCTAAGAAAACAAAAAAAAATGAGCGGTAGACAATCTCTCAGCAGGGATTTAATCAGATTAAAAACAAGGTTTGTCAAAAGATTTATCCAACAATTATTGGTGGTGATTGACTTGTTTATATCGTCTATAGATGCTGCCAAATGCTTTAGGTTATCATTTCTGTGTCAATGCTGAACAGAATTGATCCATTTTTGAACCAATATTCTATTCAAAGATTGAACAGAGACAGTATTGTAGTTTGCAAGCAGCTTTAATTGTCTACGATATCACCTTGGAGGAAGTGGACGTAAAACTCTAGTAACGAACAAACAATGGTATGAAAATAAAACTTAAGTGATACAAGTCTCAATATATATAATTACCGTTTAAACAATGAACATGAATTTACAGTAAACTGGAATATTGGTTTCAAAACCTGTATGGAAGAGAACAACATTGATAAGATTTAATATAGATGTTATACACCTGATGACTGTACTTCATCCCATCCAGCTGTGATTTTATGTAGTAATTAAGGTTATAGATTACTTCGTGCACAATTCACTACCAGAAGACTAAGAATGCATCCAAATGATCCAGCCAGTCAGTAAAAAAGAGAACGAGAACTCAGGTCCAATATACCCAGTGGATTAATCTCTAATGTCAGATTACAGAGAGAGAGAGAGAGAGAGAGAGAGAGAGAGAGAGAGAGAGAGAGAGAGAGAGAATTGGGTCTAAAGTCCACTCAACACAAACTAGGTCATTTCGGGATTAACATATGGTTCAATTTTATTTCAATAACTTACCTGCGGGTATGGGTCTTTAGCAGTGGCAGGAAACCAGAGGACCCAGGAGTAAACCCACAAGGTTAGACAGGCAACCCTACTCCTTGTCCTTTACCTAATGACAGACATTGTGATTTAACGCGCGCACTTTAAACTATTTGGTCACCCAACCCCCACTGCCAGATTACAATATTAATATCTATGTAAATAAAGTTCGAAGGAATGATATGTAAAACGCTGATTAAAAAATAGAGTGCATATCACAATTTTGAAAATGACATTATTTCATTTACCTGAAAGACTATTTCGACCGGAACATCAGTTCTAGGATCCGATAATTTAGCTGCCAATTGAACCTTCTCTTGAAGACAATACATCAAATCCCTGAAATACAGATCCACACAATATTATAATTAGCCATTATGTCTTTTAAAATTCCAGAGTTTCTGTTATTATATTCTTAGAAGTCCCTTGAGTTCCTGATATAAATAATCTTCCCAGAACCCCCTTGAGTTCCTGATATCATATTCCCAGAATCCCTCTAACCATACGTTTTTTCTATAACACTCTCAGGACCCCATCGGTTCTGCGGAAGTCAAAGCTTTGCATCATAACCCAATACAATTAAACATCTATGAATAATTCCAAGAATCACATCAAAATTATTCCATTTTGATGAAGACATAGTAAAAACATAGGAAAAATGATCACATTTGCCAGTATTTTGATGGATGAGACAGTGGGGGATGATCATATTTACCTGCATATTAATGGATGAGATGGGTGAATGATCATACCTGTGGATGAGAGATGGATCATATTTACTTTTATCTTGATGCATGAGATGGGGGAATGATCATATTTACCTGTATATCGACAAATGAGAAGAGTGGAATGATCAAATTTACCTGTGGATGAGAGATGGATCATACTTACCTGTATATTAATGGTTGAGCCAAGGGAATGATGCTATTTACCTGTATATTGAAGAATGGGAGGGGGAATGATCATATTTATGTGTATATTGATGGATGAGATGAGGGGAATGATTAAATTTACCTGTGGATTAACGGATGAGAAAAGTTTTCCGTTAAGTATGACTGAAGTACAAACTGAAATTTCTCAAAAATATTATCTTCAAGAATATGGAAAATATGCACCTGAAATAAAATAATAAAACTAATTAATGTCAAATTGAAGTGCCAATGACCATGGTTTATTCTAGATTCAATAATAAATAATGGATTTTTTTTTATGTTTAGTAAAATTTAGCAAAACAGTAAAAAATTAAAATACAAACCAAAGCATGGAAGACATCTAGAGCAAATGGAACCCGTTCACCATTTTTGGCACCAAACATACTGAATAGAGCATCTAAAATATCTTGAAGATACTGAAATAAAAGATCTTTGGAGATATAAATCTTACTCAACTTATTAATGGGACTCAGAGAGGTCTATTTAATAAAATAACATATAAACCCAACTGACAATCTAAATATCACTGTATTTTACATTCATTCACAAGTCATTTTATAAATGCAGTATGTCATGAGGGAAATTTTCCTTGGACAGAGGTGGTTCCCCATATTCATTTTTGCGATCATGCCAACAATCTAACATGTACACTGGACCTACGTTTTTTGTTCCATCCTAAAGATTAGATGCTGTTCCTTTAAAGTCCTCTGTTGTGCACCAATGGTAAAGGATAAACATACTGAGAAATGCTGAGGAACAACACAGAGATCAAAGAAGGGAGTTCCTGAACCAGTGTCTTACTCAGTCAGTTACTAGAGTGAGGGTGAGTGAGAAATGGGGTTTAAAGCCCACTTGACACATACTAGGTCATTTTGGGACTAACATATGGTTCAATTTTATTTCAATAATTTGCATTGCGAGTAGGGGTCTTTTTAGTAGTGGGAGGAACCCAGGGAACCCGGCGAAAACCCACTTGGTTGGACATGCGACCCTACTTCTAGTCACGTACTAGCAGGGAATCAAAACCATGCCACTTGTCTCAATGACAGACTTTATGGTTTCACACATTAACCCACTAGCCCTTCCTCATGAGTTACTTTACCTTGACTATTTCTTGTGATGGTATAAATATAACATTGCGTAAATTTTCTGATATTTTATCCTGGTTTATCATCCACTGTAAGATACTCACTAAACCAGCTGAAACAAAATGGAATAGAAATACTTTATCAACACCTTTACTTCTGAATTGATCGAGTTACAATCGAGTGACAGGTAATTCAGTCCCGACAACAGAGGTGGGGTGAGTAGGTTGAATTGTGACGTAATTGAACCCAAAAAGGAATATGTTATAGCTGTCATGATTGGTTGAAATGGGTTCTTATTCAGGCGGCGTATGTGCTGTAGCCCAAAATTTCCCTTTTTACTCGATTGTCACTATTTTGGGTATTGAGATAAAATCAGTTCTGGAACGTTCAATCGTGTATGCCCTAAGATTTGTATTTTATTATCATTTAACATCCACATTTCATAATTAAGATCAATGACACTGAAACGTTGATATCGTTGACTAAGTAACAAATATACGACACTAATAGATCAAAGTTGTCAGTTTATATAGATAATGTGTTAGTTAGTGAAAATTGTTGTGATCAGGCAGTAGTCATTAAGTAGGTGTTTTGTCACTAAGGCGTTAAAACTGTGACTATTGAATGATATACATCACTATTGTTCAGGTTTGTGTATTCAATAGTGATGGGTGTTATAAACAGTCACCCTTTTACACCAGTAGTGACATCTTTTACAGCTAGTTACACACCTGCTAATTAGTAACAATTGTATAATTTCTAACCACTTTCTATACATACTAAACATTTCTTTAGAACAGTGATTCTCAACACAGGTGTGCCGCAAGATCTTTCTAAGTGTGCCGCAAAATTTTAAACGGCACACTCAGAAAATGCAAAAAACCATGGGATCTCAATTGAGTATTCAATGGTGTCTACTGATAAGTTCATAGCTGTGTTTTTCTTTATTTAGTTTGAGTCATTCTATGTCTCTATGACTAGTCTCTGTTTACGGTTGTCTTCCGTCTGACTTACCAAGCATTTTTTTTTTTGCAAAATTCAGACATTTTTCATATATATATGTTGCCAGGTGTGTCGCTATTTTTTCATGTGTTCCATGGTGTGACGTTGGCAAAGAAAGGTTGAGAACCACTGGTTTAGAGTAATGACCACTTATATGATTTAATGACAAAAATTGTCATCACTAAAATGCCTAACTTTATTAGTCAATGGTATCAGCTTAGAAGTGTGATCTTGAATACTTATATCATTAATGTTTCTAGCCCCATTTCAACGATTATTAGAATGTTTATGTCTCCCTTTAAGCACGAAGCTCAGTCAAGGTCAACTGAGGTCCGCACTGTCACCTGCAGGCTACACTAAAAAATTTGTGGAAATATTTCATTATAATACTTTACTAAACACAAAAATATATATTTATTACATTTTTGTAATGCTAACCTGGAAGTGTTAAAAAAACGCCACAGACATGCATGTGCAAAAGAAAGAACATCAGAAACTTGACAAAATATTGTTATTTACAATTATACATGCTTTAAAGACATTAGTTCCACGTTATTTAATTCAAAGTAAAACAGTTCTCAATATTTCTATATTACCATACTGAATAATCATCTAGCTTTCTCTAATGTAGTCTTGATTAATGTTTTTCATAACAAGTGGTTCTGTTATATTCACTAAATAGCTTTGTTTATCAAGTATATAAAACATATGGCAGGTATAATTACAGTACATAACAGCGGTTGCCAGGCAAGATATGTCCACATTTTGCAAGAGATGGACAGAGAACAAGCTGAAAAGGCGATTTTTTGTACAATCAAGGGACATAATCCTGGAAGTTATGGTGTGACATGCGTCCAATATCTTTGGGATATAAACATATATTTTAAGTTTCATCAAAATCTGATACAAATTTTTCGTACAATCAGGGGCCATAATCCATAAAGTTACAGTCACATGATTCGCACATCCTTGATATATAAGAAAACCCAAAACAAAAATATCAACAAAAGACAAGCATAATTTACTTACTATTTTGCGTAAATTTTGTAGAACACAGTTTCGTTGAAACAGAACAAACTTCTTTTGAGTTTCGTTGAAAAGGTAAATTAATGCCAGCATCTCTATATTCTAAGAAATCATCTTGATAAGTTGGAAGCTTGTTATACCCTTTTATCTTTCTGGGATCATCACACTAGAACAAAAAGTATTGAAACTAATAATATTTTATGTTTATGAAGAGAAATTAAATATTGCGATATCTTATACATGATCAGTCATCCTTGAACTGTACTATACTATTATATTCCAAGGTTCCTTGAACTAACCAGCATTGGAAATGAAATAAAATGGGGTTTAACGTCCTACATTTCAGCAACAATAGAGTTAGAAAAAAAACCAAACACACGCCATGCAATGTGCTAGAAGAGACATTTCTCCTCACCCTATCCCGAACACTTAAAGCAGCAAGTCTAAACTTTTCTTTAGGCGCTGCATATAGCTGTGAAACTATTATATTCCAAGGTTCCTTTAACTTTAACCAGCTTTGAAAATGACATAAAATGGGATTTAACGTCCTACTTTTCAGCAACAATACAGCTAAACATACGATCATACGCCATGCAATGTGCTAGAAGGGACATTTTGCCTGGATAGCAGCATTTCCATCTAAGCTTCATCAAATTACAACTGTTGAGGGTTCTTTATGTGCATGCCAATGTGTTTTTTTGTCTCATCATATTGACTAGAGGCTGTTCCTTACCAGGTTCTCTATCCTGCACCTCTGACAAAGGTGAATAACCAGGATTGAACCTGGGACCTACTGGTTAATGAACCAGTAACATATTCATGGGGCCAACATGGCTCCCTAAACAGCCTTGATTACAGCAAAAGATAATAACGTTCCGATATATTGTCAATGTAAATTTTGGCATTCCCCTATATTACATGCCTATTCGAATAATGACTACACTTTTCGGCTCATAATTACCTTATATATACACAATTCATGACCACCATCTCTTAACATACGAGAATATTTATCTGTTACACGTAAGTAAGAAAAGCCTTGAAGTTTCTTTTCATTTTTATCACGAGCTGAAAAAGTAGATATAGGGAGTTATTATTGAAAATCAGTTAAATAAACAGTATTCCTTGTTTAACAATTGCAGCCTATAAAGTGCTAAGAAGACTTTTTATAAAGGAGCATAACTCTTGAGTTGATTGAAAAAATTTGAAAATTACTAAGTTTCTTTCTTTGTGCTAAACAACTTGTACAAATTTGAGAACTTGAATCAGATTATAATTGAAGAGTTTATTGACAGTAAGATCACATTAAAATGAGGGCATATAAAAATATCTTTTAAAAAATTGGGTAACCGACTAGTTTCAATGAAATACTTTTATTTTTTAAAGAATTATAAATTGAATTTTTTTTAACTGGAAACTTATATCATACTTGTACTTACTTGAGCAATGATAAAATTCAAATCTAATGTGAGCTCCAGTAAATTTTTCTATAGGTATAGCCAACTGAAGAAAAAAATAAATAATAATAATTCACCAAGAATAAGACAGATCATATCTTTAAAATAAATTTCTAAAATAGCATTAAACTGTTGACTCAAAATTAAGCTGGTTTAAAAAGCTTGAATCATGATTATCAAGTTGTGTTCACCTAGTGTGCTTAACAGTCTAGATTAATTTGTCTTAAATAATGTTCAATTCATGGTCAAAATGTTTCAAATTCTCTATTTCACAACATCCTTATTTTAATCTTCTGAATCATAAAATAAACAATGCTTTTTATTTGTTTTCGATATTTATTTTTTTAGCAGTTAATCGTCTATAATTTATTTTATTGTTGTTGTTTAATGTCATTTATAACACCAACTTGTAAGTACAATTATATTCTTCACTCTTGAAACATTCATGCCATAAAAAAAAGCACAAAAGGAGTCCTGAACATCCAGCACCCTTATATACCAAGAACAAAGTCAAATTTGTTTTCATGGAAACTCAACAATGATTAATTCTGAGAAATTTCTAATCAGGAAAAGGCAAAAACTATAGATTGATGTTTGTACAAAGTTTCATAAAAACATTTTGAATAGTTTATGAAATATGCTCCAGAAACAAAACCGGGATGCATGGATGGATAGAGCCCATTTCAATATTCCTTAACTTTATTCGGCGTAGGATAATCAAACATTATTTATTATGTTAAATTTATTTTAATTACGTAAAAATATGAAACTTACCCTTATTATATCATTCCATTTTGGGTTATTGTGGTGATAAAATACAGCTGATCTATAGACAGTTAAAGCAACTTCACCACAACCGCCGTCAATACAAGTCTATAATATATAACATATACATAAAAATACTGGGTTTCAAAGACTACATTGGTGACAAGACTATAATATATAACATACACATAAAAATACTGGACTTCAAAGTCTACATTGGTGACAATTTACTGCTGAAGAGTAAGTCAGATAAGAACTAATACATAGGGTGAGTTAAATTTACTCAACTTCCAATCACTGTTTTTTTTATGAGAAACATCTTTGATCCAGAAACACCAAAATTTGCACATAGTTTCTCATTGATGTATTTGATACAGTAAAACAACAAAAGTTTTATAAAGGGCTATATTTTAGTTAAAAGGCAAACAATTTTGAGTAAATTCTTAACTTCAAGGGGCATTATGGGAGATTAGATAAAGAGCTGACAGTTCTCGCTATAATAGTTAAAAAATAGACAACGTAAATAGAATATGCTGAAAATTTCAGTCAAATTGCTCCATTCTGAACCGATATATTAGCTTTTGAATTTTAGGCTAGTCTTGATCATTATTATTAAAGTCGGTACAATAAAAAACAATGTCTAAATTATATATATTTCATTTAATTATTTTTCAAAAAATGTATTCCAATCCGCTAAATATTGCAGGCTAGTCATGGCATCGAGAGTTGATTATGGTCTCGATAAGTTAATTAATGTCTAATTAATAATTTAGATAACATTTCAGGCCTAAAGAAAGACCTGCAATAGGCAGATTTAGCTCTTGCATAATGTATGTTTAAAAGTTCAAGTCTGAGAATGTTTTGTGAAACTGGGGCCTAGGCATTTTAAATCTGTGTCATCTGAAAAAGATAACTATATATGACCCATCATGTAGTGTTTTTCTCTTTAAAACAGGAGTTTAGACAATGAATTGAATTAATGGGGAATATAAATAATTTAAACTTACAGGAATTATATGACCACCTTCATCATAAACTGTTACATCAACTTCAACATTCTTCGCCGCTTTCTTACTTCCTCTTTCAAACTCAGCAGAACATATGGTTATATATAAGTCATTTCTTACTTCACCTGAAATAAGAAGAACACCCACAATCTGCACATAGAAAATAATATCTAAACTAATTAGTTTACATTTGTTTCAAAATATGAAAAGACCTCGGTCATCTAACAGACCCACAGTGGCAGAGTGATTCACTAACTGACCAGAAGGTACAGGGTTCGATTCAGGCGTGTGGACCCTTCAGCCTTGTCTCCCCTTGTCCGTTGGATGGAGGGCCTGGCGAAGAACAGTGTCTAATTGTTCGGATTGCACGTAAAAGAATTCTTGACAGTTGCAATTCGATGACGAGTAAAATGTGATGTTTGTGAAAAGTCATTTAGCCCACCAAAAAGATAAAAAAAAATTCAATTCATCATCAGATTTTTTGGGAAAGATTGTCAAAGAACCAGAATATATTTTTTATTGCGGCCCTATAAAACAAAATGACAGCCAAATAAATTGTTATTTACAATTTTTTAGTTTCAACAGAGATGTACATACCAGGATTTACAACGTCAGAAAAACCAAGTTTTTGAACTATAGCTATGTCCTTTGTAAAGAGAATTGGGTTCTCTCCCTTTACTGCTGTCAGATCACCATCAAACAACTGTAAAGTCACAGCTATACCTGGAAAATAAAATTGTTTATGGTAAAGTAACAATCCAAATTCTGGAATTGAACACTCACACTTCAGAACACTGAAGATCAGGCCCCAGGTTCACAAAGCATTCTCAGATTTAAGTTAAAAATTTACTCAACTATCAATCACTGTTTTTGAGAAAAATCTTTGATCCAGAAACACAAAACTTTGCAAGTAGTTTCTTATTGATATATTTGATACATAAAAACAAACAAAAGTTTTATAAGGGGCTATATAATTCTTAACTTAAGTCTGAGAATGCTTTGTGAAATCGGAGCCTGGTGAATACTTTACAGTGACAATGAGTCTACACAATCGGAGCCAGGTGAATACTTTACAGTGACAATGAGTCTACACAAGCCAGAACAATTTGTTGACATTAATCAACGTTCTATTATACTGATTGTCGAACTTGTATTTTAATTTAGAAATTCAAACTCTCGAACTTGTAATATAGCCATTGTTTATCTCCCTACAGCGTTAATTAGCTCCCAATTTTAACATTTTTTGCTTCTGCAAATTAAATTGTAAATAATTTTTTAAATCATTAAGAGAAAAAAAGGGGGGTGTTTGAAGTGTATCTGAATTAACAATATTTCCAATTTAATGTGAATGGGTTTATAAACTAGTACGCAGAGGCTTAAAATGAGTAAAGGGGCGTCAATTCGGCCCAGATCAACGAACATGTAATCGGTGCAATGTAATGTGATGTCACACATAAAACTAGTACAGAGGTTAAATAAAGAAGGCTTTCGCATTACCGCTGTGAAACTGTTTGTGATTGGACTCGGTTGGATTTTATAAATTAATAACTAAATTGCTACTGTAACTGTCTTGTATTGTAGATTTCAATTCTGGACAAAAATATCGGTTAATCGATATCTAGAGAGAATAATACATACCAGAATTTGCTTTATCTGCACTGGATCCTTTGGGAATGCTTTGTGCTTGACTCTGATATTTTTTAATGAGATTTTCATGAAGTTGACTAATTGATGATTCACTATCTGCACAACTAAAACAAATAAATTTATAAATAGAATATTGTACAGTAAAATTACATATGTCTCATATAAATCTATAATTACATGTCTCATATAATTCTATAATTACATATGTCACATAAACATCTATCATTACATATGTCTCTATACATCTATAATTATATGCCACATAAACATTTATCATTACATATGTCTCTATACATCTATAATTACATATGTCACATATAAATCTATAATTACATGTCTCATATATACACATCTATCATTACATATGCCACATAAACATTTATCATTACATATGTCTCATATACATCTATCAAACAGTAAAAATGCATATAAATCTAATATTAAATGTCTCATACAGGGATTATAGAGTGATAAATGCAGGTCCTCTAAAAATTGCTCTCCTGGTCAAGATTTAGGGGGACTGTTTAGAACACTCTCCTCTAAATGTTAAGGTGGATAGGAAAAAAAACAACCCCAAAAAACAGTAATATTTTATCATTTCTAATTAAAGAAATTTAAGAATTTGTAAAATTAACAAACATATTCAACACATTGTTGTCACTGCCGTAAAAATCTCCCAATAACAATTCGCCTTGCACACAAGTACGTTTGTCCACATTTGTCTTGTGTGAATCTATATGGTACTGATGCTATGAATGTTTACATTGCTGATGGATAGATATTTTGTGGTGAATAAGTTACATATTTGTCAGGAAATAATTAATGATTTTGTTGATATTAGAGCACACATTTAACTGCGCTCCTCATTTTGAAACAAGGAGTATGAAGGAGAGCATGTGTTAGACACTTTCTTCAAATGGGATGATCTAACAACTTTGCAGATCTTACCAGAATCTTTAAAACCGATGCAGGGCATCATAATTTATAAAAAGACAATTACAAATGCAAAGCCTGTAAACACATCACTCTCACACTTAGTAACTTGATACATGTCCTTACCATTGAACCCTGAACTGGAAATTTTTTTGATCAATTTGACCTTCTCTCGTTCTCAAAAATTCTTTTAAATAGAACACTGTAAGAAAATAATATTTTAATTTGAATAATGGTGGACAGAGAGAGAGGGAGATAGAGAGAGAGAGAGAGAGAGAGAGAGAGAGAGAGAGAGAGAGAGAGGTGTTAATGTCCACTTGACACAAACTAAGGGATTTCGGGACCAACACATGGTTTAATTTTATTTCAATAATTTGCTTGCGCGTAGGGGTCTTTTAGCAGTGGGAGAAAACCGAAGAACCCGGAGAAAACCCACGTGGTTGGACAAGTGAAACCATGCCAGCTGACTCAATGACAAACCTTATGATACAACGCACACACGCTAACCATTCGGCCATCTAACCCCTCCGAATAATGGTTGATAGTCTGATGTTGATAAACTGAGATGAGAATAAAAACATAATGTAAAATAATGATACCATATAAAAAACTAGAATACAGCCTGGAAAATGTCTGTGATGGATGGCTTATTATTACCAGGCTTGTACAAAGCCTAAATATCTGTCAATCAAACATTTTACTAAAAAGGTTTACCTGATCTTACCTATATGTACATTTATTTAAATGGGATTCAGTAACTAACTCAGAATAACACATGACACAATTATATGGAATACAAGTTACTTACTTATATATAGACTAATTCTAGACGGCATAATTATAAATTAATGGTACAGACCTACACCCGGAGGTGACTACCTCAGCCCCCTCATCCCACCCCTACTATACCACTGTATGCAAGTAGTATTTGGTATTAAAGAAATGATTTTATGAATCGTACTCAATTAAACTTGTAAAATAAATAATCAAAACCTACCTGAACCTCCCCAAGGCCTTCTGTATTTATATGCAGGTGTTTTTTTACTTGTATTATCTATTAACACTTTACCTAAAAAATATAAATATCATTAGTCAATAATTATCTTTATACAAAAATAACTGTATATTAATTACGATGTGGCCATTATTATTTATACAGGTGAGAAATACTAATATGTGACATTTTATTTTTGGAATTGATAGATTTCGGTTATTCCAATTTATAGATCTTTTCAATCTTAATGAACAAGAACCCAAGAAAATAAGAAAATAGTGCTTAAGGCTCTGTTAATTCAAGTACAATGGACAAAAGAATTGGTATTTCTGTTCCTTGGACCATTGCACAGGATGTGAAGTCACAATTTCAAGATGGCGGCAATGACATCATGCTTGGTTCTTGGTCCATATAGTAACATCGTACTTGTTAACATACATTTTTATTGATCAATTCTAAAACATGCCAACTAATATAATAATAAATAATTTCTTTTTACTTCAATTCACAAACATGCTTTAGTGTATTCGACTGATAATTATTGTATTAAGTCTACCTATAAAGATGCAACCAGGGCTCTCATTTCTGACATATGTGTCAGTCTTGTCTGACTGACAGAGACATTGACCAACTGGAGAACTTATCCATCGGTCAATTTAATTTCCTATAATGTTTATTTTCAAAATACTAAACCTTAAAATACAATATATACAGTTAAATTTATAGCTTGTATATATTCAAATATCAGGATAATGCTACAATTGCCATATTCTTAAAAAAACACTGACTGGCATACTGTTGAAATGAAAGCCCTGCTGCAGCAATTTAATTTCTAATATATTCAGTCAGTTTCCATATGAATAAAACAATATAAAACATTTCTCAGGACCTAATAATGATTAGAATATAGTATCTATAACCACATGCATATATAACAGACTAGAGATCCTTAACATTGTTCCATCATTAAATTCATTTTAACTTTTTTCTTCTGTATACTTATAGGTTAAGTCTCTAGTGGTTTTCACTCAGAATTTTAGAAATTCAAAATATTGTAATTTACAAGGGGTTAAAAATCCTGCAAATCATGATCAGATTTAGTGTTTTTCAATCCAAATATTCCTTTTAGAAATTCAAAATATTGTACCGTAATTTACAAGGGGTTAAAAATCCTGCAAATCATGATCAGATTTAGTGTTTTTCAATCCAAATATTCCTTTTAGAAATTCAAAATATTGTACCGTAATTTACAAGGGGTTAAAAATCCTGCAAATCATGATCAGATCTAGTGTTTTACAATCAGAATATTCCTTTTAGAAATTCAAAATATTGTAGTTTACAAGGGATTAAAAATCCTGCAAATCATGATCAGAAACATTAATGATTGATTTTGTGTGTTTTGAATCAGGAAATATGTCAACATTAAAGAGTAAACATCGATTGTGTAATCAACACCTGATTGTCCTATAGTAAACAGACTGACAACTAGATTTTTACAAGTCAATCAGTGCTTGACAGTAGCAAGAAACAGAGAGATCCAATATGTAGTATTCATAAAAAAAATATACACCTTTTATTTAAAGGAACTAAACCTCTAATTCTATATTTCCCATAATATTCAAAATTAAAAACATGAATTAGAATTCAATATTGGTTCATATCAATTAATATTGATGTTGCTATCTTGCCGTGAAAATATACGAAAATAATATCTAATATTTAAGACAAAATGAACATTTTAATATTTCTACATGAGTAGTGTCGACCATGGATTCGGACTCCATTTGTACTGAACAAAGAAAAATGTTTAGAATGGAATAAGCAGGCATAAACAACTGCCGTTCAATTTGGACAGTTCATGTATTTCACCAATCTGGTTAAAACACAGATCCTATTTCGTTTTGTTTTTATAGATCAAAATTTCGTTTTACATGTCTTTACTACACTTGGATCTGGAAGACTTGTTATTTAACTCGTGTTCTGCTTGAAATGAGGGGTCAGCCAATCAAATGGTCTGTCAAATCGAGTCTTTGACTTTTTTTGCCCGGAACTGTGGGTAATCAACTAGTAACATCAATGCTGATTGTTTAATCAAATGTCTGACGTCATAGGTCAAAAGTCGGTCTTTTGACCCCTGATGTGACCTATCGCTATAACTTGTTAGATCTTCATGTAGTGTAGGCCATCGAAAGTTTAAAAAAAACGAAGCGAAATATAGATCTGTATTTTAATCCGATTGGTATTTCACCGAACATAACTGATAGAAATTACAATCACTTTTTTAAAAAATTTAATTTAAATCACTTTATATATATTCATATTACATTAATATGTGCTTTTAGACAGATTTTCGTCTATTTTGAAAATGTAAGATACAAACCACATCAGAACTCGAAAGTAGAAAGAAATTAAGAGCTAAAACCATACACACCAAACAGATTCATAAAACATACAATACAAACCACAACTTGTGCATTACAATGTATATAAGCACAATGAATTATTGTTTAAATATAAGGAGGGGTACCGGTACATGGTTTTTGGTGTAGTATAGTATATGTTCACTTATTAAGACTGTGTTGGCTAGTGTAGATAATTTCAAGTGCATTGAAAGGACGTATGATGTATGATAGCATAAGGAGTTGGGGGGTTGCAAATCGTCTTATAAAAATGTTAGAACAAATAAAATGTTGAAACAGCAACAAATTTCTACTTTTTTTTTCCAGCTCAATGTATCTGTTAGATCTAAACTTGTACCTTTCATCTTATATGATCGACTAAAAATATCATTTTTAGGACTAATTTTGCTGTCAGAGGTCAGAGGTCAGATATCATAAAACAAAAAAGGGGAAGCTTGGTATCCTATAATTGGATATACATGGACAGGGGTTGATTGTGGTAATTGCAGGAAATATGTTAAGGAAAAATATCATACAATATATTCTAGTTAAAGTTATTTTAGATCAATTATTTTTTTTTATTTTGTATCTTTTAACATCATCTATCTGCGATTAATAGGTAAAATGAAAGTAGATCGAATATTGGTAAAAATTAGCAACAAAAACTTTTAGTATTACATAATATACATCACAGCAGATTAACTTTTATTTAACAGATTGCAGGGTTCTTACTGAATGAAACTGAACTGTTTCTTGAATGATATTCTTTTTTGAGATTTAGTTTTCGCAATATTGTGATTTGCAAGGGATGCAAAATCCCTATTCAAAATCCCTCAAATGATGATCCGCAATTTTAACTTAATATCAATATTATTAAAAGTTGTCCATAAATAACACCCTGCCATGATGATCAGCAATTTTAACTTAATATCAATATTATTAAAAGTTATCTGCAACAAACACCCTGCCATATCTACATGTAAAATAAACATTCTACTTTATTTTTTAAAAAACATTATTTAAGTACATGCATGATATCTTTAATTGTGTCTAAAAATTCATTACATGCATTACATTCTCTCTCAGCATACATTAATAATAATTTCCAGTGTATGTGATACTTAATAAAACATTCCATGACAAAAAAAAGCATATCCCTCTACCTTTTAAGGCCTGTTCACTAGATAGTAGTAATACGGCTCCTGTTTTAAATTAGAGATACGTCAAAATCATGTTGAATAAAAGCACATTGCACAAAATATTCTAATATAAAATAATAAAATACAAACCAACTGATATGGTTCCAGAATATACAGATTATACTAGATTTTATCAAAAGCTATTAGGGCCCTGTTTCACGAAATTTAAACTAAAATAAAATCCAAATTTTAGTAATTTGATTGGATAATATTAGATTGATTTTAGTGCTTAGCCAATCAAAATTAAAGTTGGATTTTATCTTTAGTTAAGATTTCGAGAAACAGGTCCCAGTAAAATCTTCAATTTCCCAAACACCTAAGCCACTCATGATGTGTTAATATATTTTGTGATTACTATAATAAAGCCAGATGATGTTAAGGCCAACTTAATTTGAATTTTAGTTCTTCAGGATTTTGACAAATACCATCTTCGCCAGCCAAGGGTTACGATTGAAGCGAATCGTATCGTAACCCTTGGCTAGCAAAGATGGACAATTACATGTAAGCTCAAAGATGATGTTGTTCAGGGTTTCTTAAATTTGAAATGCAAAGACATATTTTTTATATAATCCCGAAAAAATGAAATTGAAATTGGTGTGGTCTAACTCATTAGCATGAACTGTGTTCAGTGTTCTTGTTACAAGGTGATGAGTTGTTAATAGGGCACTAACTCTAGTATAATTATAATGGGCATTGCTCTAAATTTAGCTAATTTCCACTCAACATGATTATTTGAAATACTAATATTTTACAAGTAAAACAGAGCAGTGTTGGTCCAGCTTTAAGTAGGGGGTCAAGTGATGTAGGGGGCTGCGCTAGTTGACCTGTAAGAGCACTGTGTTAAACCCAATTGCATTCAAGTGAAGCAGGGGGCCATGTTGGTTCAGCTGTAAGAGCACTATGTTAATTCCCAATCAATTCAGGTGGTGCAAGAGATAAAGCCTAAGCATTAGCAATTTTTGTATATCATAATAAAAATATATATCGTCAATATATCTATTAGAGTTTATTAGAGACTATATAAATATAGCAATTAATATAGAGAAAACTGGTGGTGTAAACCTTTATAACTTACCTAATCTGTATATCTGAGCTACAAGATAAATATCTTTCTGTAAATCATCATCAGATAAATCCTGTAATCAAATAATCAATCATATTCAGTACTGGATTTAGACAAAGAGATGCCCTGGGCTATTTCACTGATGAGGCACCCGCCAATCCTCCTCAAGCATGAGTGTGAGCCGCCATCTTGGAACTTTGTGCAGCGACCTGGGTAAGGATACATCACAAGTTTTCCCAGAGATAAACGAATGGTAAACTTCTCTCTGGGAGCCGAGATTGATCAGAAAACAAAGTGATTGAGAGAGAAATGGCAGTTGACGTTTACTTGACACAAGATAGGTCATTTTTGGACTAACAGAGGATTCAATTTTATTTGAATAATTGCAAGTAGGGGGTCTCTCTTAGTGGTAAGAAAACCGAAGGATGAATAAACTCACGAGGTTGGACAGGTGACCCTACTCCTTGTGGTCTAGAAGCTGGGAATCAAAATCAAGCCATGGCCAAATGACAGACCTCATGATATAGAGCACACATTTAGATCATTAGACCTACATTAAAATCATAGTGTGCAATTCATGCACAATTGTCAAAAAAAACAAACAAGCATACCAAGTTACATGTTGAATAACCAACTATAACTAAAAAATATGATTAAAATTTTGTATGAGTTTTCTGAGACTGAAACTGAAAATAATCATATTTTTTAAACTTACCAGAAATAATCCAAAGTAATTATCAGATCTGGTCTGTGGAACTGGCCATCCATTTTTATTATATCGTAGTAAGAACTTCTCACTGTAAATATCAGATAAAGTCAATAATTGCATTGGGACCCATAGAAACCCTACATTCAAGCTGGGAATCAAAACCACGCCAGTTGACTTAATGGCAGACCTTATGATCTATAGTGCATGTTAGACCCTACCCCCAATCAATGTGAAAGACCCATGGCAGTTAAGGTTAACAAACTTAGTTTCAAACAGAAAAGCTACATGTAATAGTATGTTTACTGCATGTTAAAGGCTCAATACCACTCTTGTTGTAACTGAATAATATGTCCAAATCTTTATTCTGGTAAACAAATTGCACTATTTTACAATATTCCAATTAATGGATGATACAAATTTCATCTTAACACACCTAATTTAATAAAATTGGAAAAATTCAACTAAATCATTTGAAAAGCCTGACGTAAAGCTTTTCAAATGTGACTTGGATTTAAAAATATTTTTGAACCCTCTGGACAAGTAAAATAAGATTTAATGGATAATTCACACAACAGGTAGGATACTTAAACACCTAGTACTTAGAATAAGGCTTTTTTTTTTCTGGAGCTGTCAAGCCAGCAAGTGTTATTGCCCCTTTAATGCCCCAAGAAACTTAGTCAAAATGTCGCTTAGTAATAAACAGTAAAATCATATTCCATAGAATTTTGTCCTGTGTATATCCAGTTCAAGTACTAAATGCCATTGAAACATTTTAGGGTGTTTTTAAAGATGCATTATGTAAGAGTTAAATCTGTCTAATTTTTCTGGCTTATTTAGACATTTATTCACATGACAAAGCCATAATCATCCCTCTAGATGGATTAGATATTGAGTGGATTAGACAATGTTGGTCATATTTTCGTCAACTGTTAATATGAACATCTGCCAATTGAAGGACTGAAAATAAAGATTTTGTTTATTATAGTGGCAATGGTAGTCATTACGTCGCCCAGAATAAAGTAATTTGATCAAAAATTTTCAATATATTCCTTTTTTATTACTTATTTTTAAACTATTATAAAGAGTTGGCAGTTCTCACTATAATAGATAAAAACTAGATGATGTAAAGGGAATATGCTGAAAATTTCAAAATTACTGTAGCCTCAATTGTCATTGTTACCGCTGTCAAGATAATTAATAAAGTCCCGATTATCCGATTATGTTGAACACATAAGATAGCATCGAGAGTTGAGTATGGTCTTTTCATGTTAATAAATGTCTAATTAATGATTTAGATAACATTTCACTTCAGGCCTAAAGAAAGGCCTGAAATAGGCAGATTTACCTCTTGCATAATGCATGTTTAATATATCATAATTATACACATATTAATCCTATTACCTTATAAATTCATTATCACCAGAACAAAACAAAGACACATAAACTTCAGATTCATCACCAACATTACAAACAAAACTATCAACTTTAACCAGTAAATGGTGGATCGAAGACGATTTATTTTCTTTACTGTTTCTACTTCTTATCGTTTGTCTTCGTGGCTGGATAATTATAAAAGTTGAAATTTAAGCAATTTAGAGAGAGAGAGAGAGAGAGAGAGAGAGAGAGAGAGAGAGAGAGAGAGATGGGGTTTAACTTTCACTCAACACAACTAGGTCATTTCGGGACTAACACATGGTTCAATTTTATTTCAATAATTTGCTTGCGTGTAGGAGTCTTTAGCAGTGGGTGGAAACCGGAGGGTCTGGAGAAAACCCATGACGTTGGACAGGTGACCCTACTCCTTGTCACATGCAACCAGGGAATCGAAACCACACCAGTTGACTCAATGACAGACCTTATGATACAGCCGACACATGCTAACCATTCGGCCATCCAACTCCCCTTTAAGCAATCGACAAGAAATATTCATTTTAGGAGAATAGAGTCTACAGAGCTAGATAGGAAATTTCTTCTTACAGATGTAGCTACATTTACATTAACTTTATTTTAAAAATCTAAGGCAGAATTGTGAACAATGGAAATGAAATGAAATGGGGTTTAATGTCCTACTTTTCTGCACCAATCCGGCTTTTGAAGATGGGCATACACCACATAGTGAGCTATGACAGACATTTTTCCTTAACATCAGTGTTTCCGCTCACTCTTCAGTGAATTTCAAGGGTGTACAAGGGGCCATGGTACAACTAGACGCTGTTTCTTACCAGGTCCTCGGTCCTGCACACCTGACAAGGTGGAAACCAAAAATCTTGAAGAACTTTCTAGGCTAACACTTACTAACTGAGCCACAGTGGCTTCCGCGAACAATGGAATAGTATATATATATTACAAGAATAAAACAAATTGACATGTATGTGGCAACAACACTCAAATCCTTGATTCATGAAGATCTTTGACAGAATCAATAATAATCTGATAAACAAAGAGAGAGAGAGAGAGAGAGAGAGAGAGAGAGAGAGAGAGAGAGAGGGTTTAACATCCATTCTACATTTCGGGACTAATATATGATTCAACTCTATTTTAATAATTTGCTTATGCATAGGGGTCTTTAGCAGTGGCAGCAAACCGGCGAGCTCGGAGAAAACCCAATAGGTTGGAATTCTGTAAACAGGTTCACATGTATATATAATTTATCAAATATCCTTGTGAATACAGTAAATGTACATACCCAGGTACCTTGACTATTTTCTACACTTTTACAGTGTATTCTGTATAAATCAACAATACTATGGTTATCTGTTTCTAACTGTTCTCCATCTATTCTCGGTACCAGATCCATTCCAAGTTTCCTGAAAAAAACCCAACATAAATTAGAATGGCAGGCATACATGTACTGTATACTTTATTCAGATAGTTTTCTGAATTAGACTCATTTCCGCGAGGTTAAAACTCCAGATATTTCATTTCTGTATTAATGTCCCTTTATTGTAAACAATCAGTCTATTTGCCCAGTCTATTCCACTCCTTCCCCAAGTCTACTTACCCATTTCCAAGTCTATTCCACTCATTCCCAAAGTCTCATCACCCATTACCCCAGTCTATTCCACTCATTTGCCCAGTCTAATTACCCATTTCCCCAGTCTATTCCACTCATTTGCCCAGTCTACTTACCCATTTCCCCAGTCTATTCCACTCATTTCCCCAGTCTACTTACCCATTTCCCCAGTCAATTCCACTCATTTGCCCAGTCTACTTACCCATTTCCCCAGTTTATTCCACTCATTTGCCCAGTCTACTCACCCATTTCCCCAGTCTATTCCACTCATTTGCCCAGTCTACTCACCCATTCCCCCCAGTCTACTCACCCATTCTTCCCCTGTCTATTATCTTACCCATCACCCCCTTCTCCCCGTCTATTCTACTTGCCTATTTTCCCCCCTCGTCTATTCTACTCACCCATTTCCCACTCGTCTATTCTACTTGCCCACTTTCCCCCCTCGTCTACTCTACTCACCCATTTCACCCTCGTCTATTCTACTCACCCATTTCTCCCTCGTCTATTCTACTTGCCCATTTTTCCCCGTTGTCTACTCTACTCACCCATTTCCCCAATCTATTCTCATGATGATTTGATCTTTGACATCGTTTAACTGATCTTCTGTTATCCCATTGTGCACTAAATCTTTACGATAACCAATTAACTCGCGCATTACTTTCTCTATATTCTTGAACAAAGAATGACTTTTCTACAAAAGAGAGAGAGCAAGAGAAATAAATAAGATTTAACAACAATCCTAAGACAAACTTGGTTATTTTGGGACTAACATTTTTAATAATTGGCTTGGGTACCTGGGGTGGGAGGATGTAAGAGGATCCAGAGAAAACCCACAAAGTTAAATGAGTGATTTCAGCAAAATCAGTTCAATATAAACTTTTTATATCCATATCATGCAAAAACAGTTCCAGATAATTCAAACGAATGAGGGGACCCAGAGAAAGCCCATGAATCCTATATAGGTGATTGTTTTAAATTAGCTAAAAAGTTTTTCTACATGTATAAGCTTTACCTGATCATGTACAAACAGTTCAAAATAATTTTAAAAAATGTGAGGACCATGCAAAAATTGAAACAGGCCAATATTATTATTTGGTTTTATACTTTTGTTGGCCTATACAAGGGCATTCTTGTCAGTTTTTAATTAAAACAATCCTTACCACATAGAGTTTCTTCCATATTACCGCCCATTCTCTTAATACAAATGTAACTTCTTTAGTTATAGGGTCTTCTATAGGTATTATAGTTTCAAATCGACTGTAATAAAAAATTTACAATAAAAATAGACATTATGCATACATTTAGACCTCTACCATGGAAATTTCAACATATTGACCAATAAATTCTATTATTATTTCAGATAATTTTTATAGCAAAAAAAACCCCAACAATTTATTTTTTAATTTCATTTTTAAACTGGCTTAATGAAAATGGACATATGCCATATAGTGTGCTATGATGGAATTTTTGTCCTGACAACGGTGCTTTCACACTCTTTTCGTTGAATTCCAAGAGTTAAAGTTAATTTTAAACATACGACAAGACAATTCTTCTGCCCTGAACAACCTGGCCCCCGAGTTCACAAGGAATTCTCAGACTTAAAGGGGCATTAGGTAAGATTAGATAAAGAGCTGGCAGTTAAAAAATAGATGATGAAAAGAGAATATGCTGAAAATTTCAGTCTTATTGCTTCACTCTGTACCTAGATATTAGGGATTCAATTTTAGGCTAGCCTCGATCGTCATTACTACCTTTGTTACGATTATCCATTTTTACGGTTATCCACCACAAAACATATTCAAACCCACTAAACCTCACAGGCATCGATGGCATCAAGAGTTGATTATGGTCTTTGTAAGTTAATTAATGTCTAATTAATAACTTAGATAACATTTAAGGCCTAATGAAAGACCTGCAATATGCAGGTTTAGCTCTTGCATAATGTATTTACTTTACTTTCAATCACTGTTTATGAGAAGCATCTTTGATCCAGAAACAGAAAACTTTACACAGTTACTTATTGATGTATTTGATACATTAAAACAACAAAAGTTTTATAATGGGCTATATTTGAGTTAAAATAAGACAAACAAATTTGTGTAAAATCTTAACTTAGGTCTGAGAATGCTTTGTCAACTCGGAACCAGGCTGGACAACCCTGTCAATCATACTCTTGGCTAGTGTCATATTCAACATGCCACCATGGATCAGTCAAAAAATTAACATTTTTTGAGTACATTACAAAATAACATGTATTCAATAATGGTACATGTACAACATGATCAACTCACCCTATATTTTCAACCTTGCATGGTTTTTGCTGAATATAAGATGCTGGAAATATACCCTTAAAGAAATAATTTAAAATAATCTTTTTGTTAAAAGTTACATGGATAATACATAATGGATGAAGACCACTTTATATGATATAATACCATGACAACTTTGTTAATAAGGCAGTAATACATTCCTATAATACTAAGCCTTCAGAGAGCAGTCCACCAAGGCAAATATTTAGATATTCAATTTGTAGATAAGTTGTCATTTTCTATTTCTGCTCCAGAAAGCTAACTATAGATAGCTAAATAATAAGAAAAAATTTTCCAAGAGTTTTTAGATAAACACATCTCTCAGTTATGTGAATTCAAAATTTCAGAAATAGCCATTCAGTCAAGAGTACTGTACTTCTTAAAATATCTAAAAATGCATGAGAATAAAAATTGCCATGAAAGACTAAAATGTCTGTGTTTTGTCTAGTTGATGTCAATGTGTTTATCTATTTCTAGTTCATTTGGGTGTCACATACTAATATTATATTGCTTAATTGCCCAATATTATCAAGTAATATTTTTTTTTTTTTACCTTTTTTTCCTTGTTCTGTATGGCGTAACCTCTATACCATGTTGCTGTAATATAATAATCATAATAAACATAAAGTAACAATTTGACGAGGTTATAAAAACTCTTACATCAAAAGAGTAATCTGTTATCTTTCTTAAATGAACAGATGATAACAATCTAATTAAAATCATGTTTTGCAATTCTTTTTTCACCTTTTTTCATTTTATATTATATTCCATATTTCATATTTTACCAGACTCCATTTTATATAATATCTGACGAGTTTGATCTGTGTGCCATGTTCTTAGTTGTGTACCGTTAACAGTCAATAAAATCACACTACTCTGATCAAGTCACATAACATTGTCCACTGACCTAAGTACAAACTAACTAAAGTAATGTGCATAACACAGATGATTTCAAGCAACAGAACAACAAAACCGAAACATCTGACAAGTTTCATTTGTGTATTGTGCTTTTAGTTGTGTACCGTTAACAGTCAATGAAATCGCACAGCTCTGGTCAAGCTACAAGATATCGTCCACTATAACTAAAGTATAGTGTATACAATCGGAATCATATAAAAAGAATGAAATAAAGATATAACTTTAATTAATTAGATCAGGACAATCAGAGAGAGAAAGAGAGAAATGGGGTTTAACTTCCACTTGACACAAACTAGGTCATTTCCGGACTAACGTTTGGTTCAATTTTATGTCAATAATTCTCTTCGGCATTGGGGTCTTTAGCTGTGGGAGGAACCCAGAGGATCCGGAGAAAACCCACACGGTTGGATAGGTGACCCTACTCCTTGACATGTACAAGCCGGGGAATCGAAACCATGCCACTTGACTCAAGGGACAATCAGAGGAATACAGATAGCCATAACATAATTCAAACAGATTATTTGGGACTGACTTGTGATACATGTAATCTTGGGATCTGCAGCAGCATGAGGAACCCAGGAAGAACCTGGAAGATTAGGCAAGTACCCCACCTCTGTATCAATACTCGTTTTCTCTTCTCAAAGCCCATTTTTCAGTTTTCAACAAAACATTAAACATGCATTGTTCAAAAGCTAATTTGGGCCTGAAATGTTATCTAAATTATTAATTAGACGTTAATTAACTTATCCAGACCATAATCAACTCTTGATGCCATCACTAGCCTTGATATTTAGCGGACTGGAATACATTTTTTTAAAAATAATTAAATGTAAAAATGGATAATCAAGACTTTGCTATTTATCGTACTGACTTTAGTAATGATGATCAAGGCTAGACTAAATTCAAAAGCTAATATCTGTAGCAACTTAACTGAAATTTTCAGCATATTATATTTATGTTATCTATTTTTTCAACTATTACATCGAGAACTGTCAACTCGTTATGTAATCTCCCATAATGCTCCTTTAATAGCTATATATTAATAACAGTGAAGAACTAAAGATGAATTCTGTTTGGTGTTATTTTAAATCCTGATATTGTAACCTGATAAAACCGAGAAACAAATACGGTGACATATCAGTAGTTTTATTATTTCTCTACCATAAATAACAGAGTTGATTTTATCAATATGATTTTATTTTGTTTAACTAACAGATTAAACATACAATATGCAAGAGCTAAATCTGCTTATTGCAGGTCTTTCTTAATCATGAAATGGATAAGGTTTTTTATCGTACCGACTTTAGTAATGACAATCAAGGTTAGGCCGAAATTTCAATCGCTAAAATCTCGATTCAGGGTGGATCAATTTGACATAAATTTTCAGCAAATTCCCTTTACATTATCTAGTTTTTAACTATTATAGTGAGAACTGCCAGCTCTTTATCTAATCTCCCATAATGTATCTTTAATAAAAATGAGATGAAATGGGGATTAATGTCCTACTGTTCTGCTCCTAAACTGGGCTAATGAAGACGGGCATACATCATACAGTGTGCTATGAGGGAAATTTTGCCCAGGCAGCGGCGCTACGGCCTACTCTTATATCGAATTCCAACTGCCAAGGGATCTTTTACATGCACGCCAATATGTACATCATACTGCACGCAGCGACCCATCTACGTCATACTTCCCAGAATGTGACACTGCACTGATTACCCGCCATTTAAAACGTTCATGTGATCATTTTGGGGCGGGACAATATGTACATCATACTGCATACTTCCCAGAATGTGACACTGCACTGATTACCCGCCATTTAAAACGTTCATGTGATCATTTTGGGGCGGGACATATCGACTATACACCGTTTGTTTAGACAACAGAGTAAAAACAACGCAAGCACGTGTGTTTTATGTAAACACGCCATGTCGCTGACACTCGCATAAAAGCGATATATAATATGTGCTATGGGTAATATTGCAATAAATTCTTTACCATTGTAAACTGTCTTTAGAGTTTCAATCTGTTTATCTTTCAAAACAAGGTTAGATACTCCTAAATTTGTTTTCGCAAACAAAACCGCCTCTGTGATATTATGTTTCATGGGCGCCGCCATATTGAATAATTAGAGGACTATTTTGTGATTCGGCTTTGATTAGTTTGACATCTTTCATACACACAGCGGCTAAATAAACATATTTAATTTCATTCAATATGACAATAGAAGAAAAATAAATACTTTTAAAAATTTCTAAAAGCATACTCAGTGTTTTCGACTAAAATCGTCGATGTAGGAATTAAAATGTTGTTTAATTAGCTTAGGGCCTATTCTCAGCCGGAGCTAGCTGTAGATAGGCAGCCTAAGTTTGGGATGTATGTACATGTACATGGGACCTCGGTTTTTCGTCCCATCCAAATGACTAGACAGCTGTCCTTGTCAGGCCCTCCGTCCTGCATCACTGACTAGGGGAAACCACGCCGGTAAATCTGGATGAACTTTCTCGGCCAATGCAGGGATTGAACATCCGACCTCCAGGCTAGCGAGCCAGCGTCTTACACACTTAGCCACCGTGATCCCCACTTTAATAAGATGATATTGATTATTATACCTGTCAATAATTTTATCTCTTCTGTTTACAGAGTATGTGTTAACCAGGTAAAATTTATGACCAAATAAAGGGGCGTTATGTAAGATTAGATAAAGACCTGACAGTTCTCGCTATAATAGTTTAAACATAGATAATGAAAACAGAACATGCTGAGAATTTCAAGCAAACTGATATTAACGATTTAATTTAAAGCTAGCCTTGATCGTCATCAGTCATGTTGGCATGATAATAAACTAAGTCTCGATTACCCATTTTTACGTTAAATTATCCATCACAAAATGTATTCAAATCCACTAAATATTGCGGGTTTACGATGGCATGGAGTGTTGATTATTATCTTGTCATGTTAATAAATGTCTAATTAATAATTTATGCAACATTTAAGGCCTAAAGAATGACCAGCAATAGGCTGATTTACCTCTTGAATAATGTATGTTTAAGTGTCATTAAAGATTATTTTATGGTGAAACACATCACTGATTATTTATAGTACCAGGTAATATAAAATCAAAACATAGAAATGTCCCACTGGGTGTTGTCCCACAACATCTTTATTTCATTTGAAACACAGCACAGCAGTGAGAGAGAGAGAGAGAGAGAGAGAGAGAGCACGCCATAGTTCATGGTCCCACATGCAACTATAAAGAATGATTTACCAGAAGTTGTGGTAAGTGATCAGAACTGAGCAACAGGTTTAGTTCAGAATTTTAAAGTAATTCCGGATTGGAAAAAGGGAAATTAAATTTGGAACTTATCAATAAACTAAATTCGATGTGGTTTTTTTCTCGGTTTATTCACGTAAAAAAAACAAATTGGCAATAAATGTATTCTATGATTACATTTATAGGTTTTTGGAAAAAGGAGCTTATTCGCAGTTGTAAATTATGTTTTAAATGCCAAATTCACGATTTCCATCCCTAATCAAGTTTTAATTTGCTAGAGAGGGGAAATACATTAATAAGGGTGATTCACAATAAACTTAATCACTTATTTACACTAGTAAAGATGAGCAACTGAATTTTAACTCAAACTATGAATGAAGTTTTAGGGAAATAAATTAAAACTATGATTCACGATAAACTTTGACTACTTTAAGATCAGAAACACAATCTTATCTCAAATTATGAATGAAATGAAATGGGGTTTAACATCCTACTGTTCTGCTCCGAACGGGCTAATAAAGACGGGCATACGCCATACAGTGTGCTATGAAGGAAATTAGCTCGGACATCATAGCTACGGCCTACTTTTATATCTTTTACATGCACACCAATTTGTACATAGGGTCCAATTTCGACCAATTCGAATGACTACATGTTGTCCCTCGCCAGGCCCTCGGTCCAGCTCCACTGACAAGGAGGAACCATGCCGAAAAATCCTGATGAACTTTCTCTGTCAGCGCAGTGATCAAATACAGGACCTCCAGGTTAGCGAGCCAACGTCTTACACACTGGGGGATCAAGTGGGTAAGACGCTGGCTCGCTATCCTGGAGGTCGGGTGTTCGATCCCTGCATTGGCCAAGAAAGTTCATTGAGATTTTCCAGCGTGGTTCCCCCTTGTCAGTGATGCAGGACGGAGGACCTGACAAGGACAGCTGTCTAGTCCTTTGGATGATACGAAAAACCGAGGTCCCGTGTATACATTAGAATGCACGTAAAAGATCCCTTGGCAGTTGGAATTCGATATAAGAATAGGCGATAGTGCCGCTGCCCGGGCAAAATTTCCCTCATAGCACACTGTATGGGGTATGCCCGTCTTTATTAGCCCAGCTTAGGAGCAGAACAGTAGGACGTTAAACCCCATTCCATTTCAGTGGCTCCCGAAATATGAATGAAATAAACATCTTGCCTGTCTCATCACGTATACATATGGTAATAACTTTCATTTACATATATACATGTTACATATTTACCTTTTAGAAACCAGTTTAACCTGTATGCACTAGAGCACCAGGTCTGTTATAGAGTCAAGTGACGAGAATTCGATTCCCCGCCAATACATGACAAGGAGCAGGGTTGCCTTCCAACCACTTAGGCTTTCCCCAGGTCCTCTGGTTACCTTCCACT